GGAGAGGAGGAAGAGAGAGGAAGGGACTAAAGAATGAAAGGAAGGAAAGAGAGAAGGAGGGAGAGGGGGAGGGAGGGAGTTAAAGTTTTTTAAAGTTGTAACTAAATGACCAAAGACAAATGTGTCCTAAAACTAATAAGATGCTTTAGTAAAACTCGTTCATAGACTTAAGATTCAAAATGATTAGGGTTGACATAGACATAAATATGGATGGTGTCTGTGTAGTTAACAAAGTTAAATAAATAAGTAGGGAAGGAGGGAGGAAAGAAGGTGGAAGGAAGGAAGGAGGGAAGGAAGGAAGAGAGGGAAGGAAGGAGGGAGGAAGGAAGGGCCTAATATAAATGAAGCACTGTAAAATACCTCATGTACATTACTTTATTCATTCCTTACAACAACCTTATAAGGCAGGATTTCATTTCTATTTTTATAGAAGAGAATATTAATACTAAGTAAATTCCAAGCAGAATTTACTATTCACTCAAATGGAACAGATGGAAAACAATAATCCACATCTCAGTGACAGGCACAGATCCCTTGGGATGTTTTGGTTTGTTCTCTTTTAGGATTAGTAAGGGCAAAGTGACTTGCATAAGGAAGAGAAGAGCTTGATGAGGATAAACAGGCACAGGATTCTGTCAAGACAATGCAGATTCCATCTCAATTTCAAGGATGTCGTGGTAGCTAACTCATTCCCCACAGAACCTAGTGATATTCTTCTTTTAAAAAAACAGTTCATTTTCATTTATTTATTTCAGCTACTTCTTTACTGACAACTGTGTGCTTCTGTTTTTATTTGTCTGTAGCTATGAGGATTTCATACTCCTTCTTAACTTCCCATCAGGAATCAGTCTGATGGCGTAAAGATAACCCCAATGCAAAAAGGACTAGGATAATTTATTAATTTTTACAATACCACCCCCAAAATATATAAATTCAGGGGCAAGTCTGTATAGGGCAAACATTCACTTTCCTCTCAAACCCACTTTGAGTGGAAATAAGACAATATAGTCACCAAAGTTCCGCTTTGCTTGGGCCATGTACCTTCCCTTCATCTGGCACCTTTACAAGTCACCCAGGGCTGTGTGATGCATGCGTGTGTCTCATTGCTTTGAAATCTGGGGCATTCCAGTCTGGCTGGAGTTTTCTTAGTGAAGCATGAGAATATGTTTATCCATTTCCCATAGTTTCCCTGGGAAGAATTATGCTGGTCATGGCACCTTTAAATGTTAGGTTTGAGTTAATAAAATAAAGTTGCATTTCAAAAGGCCTTTATGATTGATCCTCATTCATTAAGCTATGATTAAAAAATTCAAAAATAACACAAATGAAGTTCACTTATAAGATGAGATGAATTTGTTTATAAAAGGCAGATGTTTATAAAAAGCATCTCTTTAGAAGTATTGATATTAGATTTGTTTTATATAAATATTGTGACTAGATTTCATAGCCTACAGAAAAAATAGCCTTTCATGATCTACTCAAATTTAAGCTGGGTGCTGATGGCTTACACTGCTAATCTTAGCTACTAAGAAGGCTGAGATCTGAGGATCACAACACAAAGTCAGCTTGGGTAGGAAACTCTTTGAGACTGGAATCTCCAATTAGCTTCCAAATAGCTGGAATTCCAGCTGTGGCTCAAGTCCCTTGAGTACAAAAGCTCAAGGACAGCATTCAGGGTCTGTGTTCAAGCCTCAAGAGTTGGGCAAAAGAAAGGTATCTATCTATCTATCTATCTATCTATCTATCTATCTATCTATCTATCTATCTATCTATCTATCTATCTATTTATCTCTGTGTGTGTTTTCCCTCAGTAATAGATACTACATTATGATGGTTTTCATATGATGTATCTCCTAATGAAATTGCAACCTTATTAGTTTGTGTGAGCACTCAATGGTGGTCACACAATAAGGAAATTCCTAATGATATGTATTTTGGAAACACATTCCTGTAATTAAGTTACATGTGAATATACATATATATATATAAGAAACTTCTTACTTTAGCAGTGGAGAGACCTTATTAATATGTATTACAATGCCATACATATAGTAATGCCATTTAAACTGATTCCTACCTCCTTGCCTCCCTCCCTCCCTTCCTTCCTTCCTTCCTCCCTTCCTTCCTTCCTTTCCTTTCGTTTTTACAGTGCATGGATGGTGTTCCTGCCTTCCATGCCTCACACATACTAGCCAAGCACTAGGTGCACCCCCCAGTGATATTTTTCTTTAAATTCTGCAGATTTTTCTAAACCCTTATTGCCATGTTTTAATGAGACCTCATCTCAGTGAGTCATGAACAAGTAAATTTGAATGTAAGAGGTATAAACTGGACTCTTTCTTTCAAGGTCTTCCTTTCTCTGCATGGGTTACTATTGTCCCTTTGGCGATCATGACTGTGAATTACTTTCATGGCTTTTGACCATAGCTAAGATAACCAGAGCTTGCTTCCCATGTCCTGTCCTATTCATGATTATGTTCCACTTAATGACACTACTACTACTAAAGTAGTAGTAAAGTAGTAGTAGTGGTATTCTTTCTCCTCAGGGGAGAAGTAAGTGGGCCAGCCCCCTAAGGACTAACTGCTTCCTCTGATTCACATTTTCTTCTGTTGCAGATTGGATCTGAGGCCCCTTCTCCCCAGGGACAGGCTGCAGCTTCAGGGAGTGGGAGTGGCCCCGAGGTGGAGCCTGCTCGCCATGTCTTTTCCTTCTCCTGGTTGAACTCCCTGAATGAATGATTCCCATTCCAGCTGCTGTCCCTCTGTCTACCTGGCTGAGATGCACAAGGCTGGCGAGACCCTAGGGGATATTCAGATGATGCAAATGATGAATGGGACCTCTGAGTAGGATTTCTGAAAGAAAAAAAAAAGATACCTTTAATTCCAGATAACATACTTAACACATGGAGAGAAAGAATGGTTTCCGAAAGGGAAGAAAGGGAAACTGGAGCTTAGGTAAATCTTTTGTTGTGTGGGAAATGTGAAGGTGTGTAGGTGTGGTAGTTGTGCATTCGTCAGTTACAAGTGGCAAGTCCTGAAAAAAGTGGGCACTGCACACTTGTCCTTCATAGTCACTGGCTTCTTTTTGTGTAATAGAAGCTCTTCACCTCTTCTCCCTTCTCCGCAATATCAAGGCAGGTGAATACCGAATTCAGTGTCATCAGAAGTGGCCCGTTTATCAGAACATGGACAAAAGATAAGTCATTGACCAAAGCTATGAAAATGTTTTGCAGTTTTTCTCTTTTCCATAATAGATTCAGTGGATATCCAGAAATGTCCTCTGAATTTGATGACACTTTCAAAGGCCTAGGACAGCTCTTGTGACCTTTTTTCTAATCTTAGTTTTAGATATTCCTCTATAAGTATTTAATTGGAAAAGACCTTCTAGCAGGGACTGCCTACTTTCTCCTGTATCCATTAAACTAAGTGGCTGAGTGTATTCATATACATATATGCATATATATGTATATATTACCATATTTACATATAACACACACCTATATATACACACACATACACACACACAAATCATGCTTTCTTTGTTCCACTGTGAGGCCTCCTTCATAACATAAGAGTAATTTTATTCTGTATGAACTATTAAATAAATGCTGTTTTTAAAAAATATAATTTATTCAGTGTTTCATATTATTCATATTATTACTCTATTAATAAAAGGGTACTTCAAGGTCTCTTGGAAAGAAGCATCTTCATTCATATAAATTAATTTTGAAGTAGAAATCATGTGATTAAAGTTTTTAAAACTACAACTAAGTGATTAAAGGTAAATGTGTCATAAAATTAATAAGATGTGCTATTGAGTTTTAGAGTGGAGTAAAGGTAGCTCATAGACTTAAGACTCAAAGTGATTAGGGTTGGCATAGACATAAATACAGATGGTATCTGTATAGTTAGGAAAGTTAACAATTATTTTTTTTAAAGTTCCCTAAATTTTATGTCTAGTTGATTTCTATCAAATTTCTCCTATAAGTAGTCTTTGAAAAATAGCTTGTTTTATAGTACCAAAGTAAAGCTTCATGAAATGGAAAGCCGGCAACATTTGGCCTTTAATTTTCAGGAATGTCAGCCTCAAATCTCCACTTGTCTCTCCAACGCCCCTGTTATCCCTAATTATGTCACATCTCAAGATTAATCAGGTTTAGGTGTTATTTCCATTATGATCGATTTTTCAGGTTGTGAAATTACCAAGTTGTAAAGCTGGAAGAAACTTCCCCAATTACAAAACTCAACCTTAGCTGTGGCACAAGGGAAGGAAACAGGAAAGGGAGAAATCTGAAGTAGGAGATTAACCCATGGCAATTGCAGAGTTGGTCTGTGTGAGCCACTGACAAATGTTTGCGTTTTCAGAGGAGAACAAAAAGCAGGAAGTTTGATGGGATTTAATCATTTTCCCTGCCTGTGCTGAGGCCATGTCTCGCGTGTGAGCTCTGGAAAGGACAAATAAAAGCACAATAACCTTTGCAGCTTTTATTAAAAATATAAATATTCAACATTCTTTTACACGACCAAAATGACCAAGGATCGGAAAGATGTTTTTATTACTGAAACGTTTACAAGAAAAGGTTGGTTCAAAGCGCATACACATTTCGTCTTACCCACCCACTCAAGAGAAGAGTATTCTCTTTGGCTCTGATCGCGACTAAAACCTTAGAATAACTTCCATCAGCTTCCTTCCGGGTCTACATTTTCTCTCAAACGTCACTAGTAAGACATCTGGACACAAGGACTGAAAGCAGACAACACAAATAACATTGTTTTTCTTTGACTGCACGTGGTGCGCTTCGTGCATGCGAACGGAGGGGTATGGGCGCTCTCCCTGTACATTCTCTATGCTTCGAGCTATATAAAAATAAACAAATGGTATCAGAGCAGCACTATGGTACAGAATACTGTGTGTTAAATATTTTTTTTGTAATTTTTGTTTTTTTGCTCTTAAGTGCAGAAACTTTTTTGCGGGGGAGGGGGCGGGCAAACGCACCGTTTCATTTCCCTATTATCTCCATCAGTTTCCTGTTGCTGTGAGCTTGCTGCGCTAACTGCTCGGCCCTGGCCATTTCTAAGACTTCGCGGAGCAGGTGGAAGGTGAGATCCAGCGAGATGGGCGGCTCCTCCGAGCGCCTCTCCCGCTCCAGCGCCTCCTGGTGGCCGCCAGGGGCGCTGCGCTCCGCGGGACCCGCGCGGCTGTCGAGCGGGCGCGGAGGCAGCTGCTGCAGCAACGCGCGGAAAAAGTTGGCGGCCGCCGCCTGATGGGACCCGGGGCGGTTGTCACTGCCGCCGGCGAGGGCCGACGAGTCGGGCGACATCCGAGGAGCGGGGCTCTTGTGGAGGTTCCCCAGGCGGAGGAAGTATTCTTCTCCCATGCGGAGCAGAACGGGTCGAGGCTGCGGCTGCTGGGGCTGCTCGGGCTGGAAGAAATCCAGGGTGTGGGGGCCCCGCGGGGGCTGCGGGGCGCCCGGGGCGGACCCCCGGCTGAGCAGAGCCCCGCACGGCGGGCAGCGCAGCAGAGCCACCAGCAGGACGCCCGCGGACAGCAGCAGGCGCAGCCGCATGATGGGGCGCTGGCTGCGGGTCGGGGTGCGCGGAGGCGGGCGGGAGCGGACCGGGGAGAGAGAAAGGAAGAGTTGGTCAGAGTTCAGCTCAGCGGCGGGGTGCGCGGGGCGTCGTCCCGCCGCACGCAGGCTTGCGGGGCGCTGTCCGAGGTCCTGAAGCTCCCGGTGGAGGGCTTCGGGAGCAGGAAAGAGGATGCCTGCCAGGCTCCCGCCGAAGCCACCCCTCCCAGGCAGGACTCCGGAGCTCAGCCCTTCCCAAAACCCATCTCCAGAACATCTCCCCGAGCTTAGGGGATTGATCCGTCCCCTCCGGACCATTTCAGCGGTCTTCCAAATTGAGAACTACTTCCTTCCTTGTCTGTCTGTCTGTCTGTCTGTCTCTTTATCTCCCCATCCCTCTCCTTGCTTCCTTTCCCTGGGGGTCGGGATGGATATAGGGTAGTGGGAGTCCTTCATAACGAGAGTGAATGGCAAGTGGGCAGTTCAGGTAAAGATAAACAGCCGTCTAAAGTCTGATTTTGCCACATCCTAGCTATGGTTGGAATTTTAAGGCACAGCCAGGGACCTCTCTCTCTCTCTCTCTCTCTCTCTCTCTCTCTCTCTCTCTCTCTCACACACACACACACACACACACACACACACACACGCACACACACACGCACACACCAGGCTGCGCAGAGCTGGTGCGCCTTCCGTCTAGGCGCTCCCTTACCTTCCCAGGCGCTTCGCAGGTGAACCAGGCGCAGCTGCCCCTCTGCAGAGGGTGGTCTCCGAGGCTTTCTCTGAAGGCTTTCTTCCTCCTCTCCTCTCAGTTTCCACTCCCTTATTTTTGTCTCTTTCTCCTCACTCTCTCAATTGTCTGAGTTTCTCCACACCAGAGCCTGGAGTGGGATTTTATAGTGTCGACCCTCTTCAGAAAGCACGCAGCATTTGCCTAATAAGCTGACGCTCTCTTGACAGCTCGATTGCGTGCTGCCTCTGCTCCTGCATAAATCATAGGGCCCTGCCAAGGAGCGAGGGACAGAGTTTTGCTATTTCAACACTGAATCTCACATCCAATTATATCAACAGATATTTATCGCCTCCTGGGTGACGTCAACGAGCCCTAAAATGGAAGGGCTTCTTATGACTTGTCCATTGACAAAAATTCTTGAATGAGATTTCCCAAGTGTGAATATACTGACCTCTTACTACTGAAGGCCAGATGGAGGGTTAGAAAAGAGACAGAGGAGAGGAGAGAAGAGGAGGCGACATGGGAAACAAGGTCTACCAAAGCTGGGCAAGTGACCACCAGTTAAAGCGGATGGATGTGGACCCCCAGGTCTTTTCCTTCTTAACTTCTCTGACCAGTTATCTCAGGATCCTCTCCGTACCTGAAATGACCTCTTTGCTAGGCTAAAAAAAAGAAAAAGAAGAAAGACTCCTGCTGTCTTTCTTCCTGGAGAGGGACAAAAGAACCCGAAGATAGATGTGTGGGACATTGGGTTTTAAGCTTTTATCCCTTTTCTTTTTCTCCCAAGTGCAGATGAAAGCAGCAGGATCCTGCAGAGATGAAATCAGCAAGTCTCTTGACATATAGCTCCAGCCTTTTTAAAATTCAGGGGTGAGAAATCCCTGTTAGGTGGTGTGGTATATAAGGCCAGCAAAATCATATTACATGATGGGACAAATAGCTATACTCCGCTGTCCATCTGCCTGTACTGGTAGTTATGTATGGCCTATAATGATGTTATAAATGTCCAAGGGGCCTGTGGCAGAAAAAAAAAGATTCCCTACCTTTTAAAATGTAAATCATGGCAATTTTTGCATTTCAACCACATCCCTGAGGCTTGCAATGAACGTTCTCCGAGAATCTCACTGCTCCTGTTTCTCCTCCCAGAATCTAAAATTTATTGTAGACTTCTCTATTCATAAATTCAAGTGAAAGAGGACCAGTCCAAGGTGCATGAATTAAACAACCTTTCTTTTACCTTTCCTCAATGCAAACCTAACAAGAGGGTTTGAACTTCCTGTTAAATTCTGACTTCTCATTCTGTGCTGGAGAAGGTCCAGTTGCCTGATCTCAGGAGCCTCACATCAGTTGCATGTGTTCCTTGGTAAACCAAGTCTACAAAAGATGATCTCTATTCTACTTCCAAATGTACAGAAGACAGACAGTCAGAGAGCAAGAGACAGTGAGAGAACAAGAGAGATGGTTATTCTTTCTGCTTCCAAATTTGAATGTATTACACATGAATATCATAAATAAGTGCTCTCTGACATTACTACAGAATGGAATGCTAAACATATAAACCACTATCAAATTTTGGGTTGTCAGTCTCAAAGAAGTGGGAGGCAGTTGCCATTAATTCTGCAATGGAAGAGGCAGTTACAAACTCTGGTATCTGTGATTCAATTCAGCTTGCCGATAACCACCAGGATTGTTTGTCAGAAATTTCCTTTTCTTTGTTTCCGGTTACTTCTGCTGCTTCCTTTGTAGATTAAGTGATAAATGATGCAACACATATTTCAACTCCTATTTGGAGTCTATACTAATCCATAACTGCTCTTAGAAACAAAAAGCAAAACAACAACAACAACAAAACCCCCAAAACAAACAAGCAAAATGGTAGGGAGAGAATTGCTGGTAGTTCCTGAGAAGTTGCAGCTCATTGTAAGAGTGTTGTACTATAGACTGCATGTGGTGGTGTTGTTGGCTTGTTTATTTGTTATGGTTTTGCTATGTAGCTCAGGCTGAGCTCAAACTCTCTATCTTCCTGACTCAGACTCCTGAGTGCTGGAACTACAGACATGTACCACCACACCAGTGTTGATGGGATATACTTCTCACATAAGAGAGCACATAAGAGAAAGCAAAGTGTGTTCTGGGAAAATAGAGCTGATAATAGGTTATGATTAGGAAAATGGATGCACCTCTGAAAGAAGCCTGCAATTTATATTGGTGGGCAGGTGTTAAAGGCAGGTGGTGAGGTGAGAGGAAACAGAACTTTGGTTTCTGTTATTGTGAAATTTTTCTTAAGTTGAAATGTATCTTAGTGATTTGCTTAGTTTCTTTTTGTTTTTGTTTTGTTTTTCTGGTCCTGGGACTTGAACTCTTGGCTTGGGCTCTATCCCTGAGCACCTTTTGCTCAAGGCTAGCACTGTACCACTTGAGCCACAGTGCCACTTCTGGTCTTTACTGTGATTAATTGGAGATAACCTGATTGGGCTGGCTTTGAACCAAGATCCTTAGATCTCAGCCTCCTGAGTAACTAGAATTATGGGCATGAGCTCCCAGCAACCTGGCTGCTTAGTTTCTTTCATGATTTCTTCTCTCTGTCCTTATCCACAGATTTCAGATCAAATATCAATCTGAAGACAAAACATGTACTTGGAAGGTGCAATTGCAGGTAAATGGTTACAAAGAGGAACTAAGAAAAGGATGGAGCCAGGAGTTTGTCAGGGAGGTCTGGGAGCTCAAGAAAAGCAACAACAAAGTTTGAGCTCTGACTAACCCTCACACTGTTTCCGGTGTTTCTTTGGGCTCTCTGGGAGATAGGATTTTAATACAGCTGCCTCATCACTCTCGAATCGGCCTGCTGTGGGTTTTCCTGGAGGAAAATTATAGTACTCCACAATTTTGACTCATTAAATCAGTGCTCACATTAGATTGCTTTAATGAGTAACAGAGAAGTCAAGTGACTTCCCTAAAGCCCTTCAGCCAATCTACTGCTACAGAATTAGAACCCAGTTTCCATTACCAGCCTGTGTTATTTACACTATGTAAAAAAAATGATCTTTGGGCGTCATTTTCTGGTAGAGGCACACGAACAAGTTGAGAAAAGGATCTTAGATCAAGAAATATATTCACACACCAATCCATGTGATAGCTTTTCCTAAACTTTCCTTCTAGTGGTAAACCCCCTAAGGCGTAAGAATGTAGAAATTCTCTGTGCTGATGCCCCAGCACTGGCTTTAATATCTTTGTGTGTACACACTGCAGTTTACTTTTCAGTGGATCTTGTGATATGAAGTTTTTAATTTCATTTCCAACTTACAAAACATTCTTCTGATGTTTTCATCTCAAGTGGCCTTCACAAAATGTGTTTTTTTTAAATGAATTATAGAGGGGAAGAAAGGTTCTTGAAATTATGCATATGCAGAAATAGCACTGCAGAGATCTCCTATAGATGGTGAACTAAATATCCAAGCCCATAAAAACCGCACTCACAAATAGAGGAATAACTCCATCATTGATAAATCAGCTTAAATGCTTTTAAAAGCTACAAACATACTCCAAGAACATGAGCACAAAATAGGGATTATCTCCTGTTTAAAATCATTTTTCAATAGCAATGTAATATAGAATATAATGAAATAATGTAGGGTACAGATGGAAATCAGTATGATGGTTCTTTGTCAAACCTAAAGATAGAACTTGTATATGATCCTGCTGTATTACTCCTGGGCATCTATCCAGAGGAATGTTAAGTCAATATACAGTCAAGATAACCTGTATGCCCATGTTTATAGAAGCACTATTCACAATACCAGAATATGGAATTAGCCTAGGTTCCCACCAACCAATGGGTAGAAAAAGATTTGTAGTATATATACCCAATAGAATATAATTCAGCCATAAAGAAGAATAAAATTATGTTGCTTGCAGGAAAATGTATGGAACTAGAGATCATAATGTTAAACAATATAAGCCAGATTGAAAAAGACAAATATCTTATATTCTCTTCCCTATGCAGATTGTGATTCTTAAAAATGATGAACAAGTTCTGTTTGGAGGTGGATACCAGTGGGAGGGAGGGCTGTAGAGTGAAAGGGGGATGAATATGGTTGAAGCACTTAATGCTCATGTAAGAAAATAGAACAATGAAACCTACTGAAATTGTTTTAAGAAGTGAGGGGAAGAAACAGCGGGGGTGAATTTGATCAGGGTACATTTTATGCGTATATGGAAATATCACAATGAAACCCCATTCTACAATGTCTGCTAATAAAAATGGGCT